GGAATTAATTTTGCAAGTTTCAGTCAATAAACCACATTGTTGGATATCAGAAGGTAAACTCACAAAAAGGTTTGCTGAAAACAAAACATTACAGCAACTAGGCATGGTGGTGCATTGCATGGTGCATCCCAACAGTTGGGAGGCTGAGGCAGGAGGATTGGTGCAAGTTCAAGGCCAGCCTAGGCTACACAGTGAGTTCAAGGCCAGCATAAACTTCAAAAGAAGACCCTGTCTCAAAAAAACAAAAACAAAACCAAACAAAAACCTAAAAAAAAAAAAACCACCAAAATTGTCACTTCATAAAAGAAACTATTTGACTTGAAACAATTTGAAACTTTTTTTTTTTTTGGTACTGGTGATCAAAGCCAGTATGTGCCTTGCACATGCTAGGGAAGGACTCTACCTCTGAGCTACCCATCCAGCCTCTGAATTTGAAATTTTTTTTTCCTTAAATTCTTTTATTGGTACATTTTAGGTATATAATATGTTTACTTTTATCATTGGATGCTTGTACCTGTACATGATGTATCTTGGTTCTTATGTTTTTCCCTATTACCTGTGCGCCCTTCACCCCCTCCACCCTTCCCTATTTACTGAATTTGAAATTTTTTTTAAAATTTTTTATTTTTGGTACTGGGGATCGAACTTGGGTCCTTGTGCTTGAGAGGCAGGCAGTGGAACTGCTGAGCTAAATCCCCGGCCCCTGAATTTGAAATTTTTACTGCTAAACATACCATTAACAAATTAAAATATATATGATAGCCTTGCAAGCACAAGGTCCCGAGTTTGATGCCTGGTACCAAAAAAAACAAAAACAAAAAATATATATATGACAAATTGGAAAATAAAATTTTGCAGCACATGTTACAAAAGGTACATATTTTATTTTATTTTTTTTGGTACCAGGGATCAAACACGGGACCTTGCTCTTGCGAGGCAGGCGGCGGCATCACTGAGCTAAAGCCCCAGCTCTAGGTACATATTTTATAAAGAATTGGGATTTAGCTCAGTAGTGCCACTGCCTGCCTCACAAGCTCAAGGACCCAAGTTCAATCCCCTGTACAAAAAAAAAAAAGAATTACAATATATCATTAAGTAACAACAGAATAAAGAGGACATAAAAGATAGTTCACAGAAGAAATAAAAATAGTCAACATGGGCTGGGGGTTTAGGTCAGTAGTTCCAGCACCTGCCTCACAAGCACAAGGTCCCAAGTTCAATGCCTGGTACCAAAAAAAAAAAAAAAAGAGGAATATACTGTGTAGCAACTAAGAATACTAGATTTTGGGGCCAGGGATTTAGCTCAGTGGTACTATGCCTGCCTCGCAAGCCCAAGGTCCTGACTTCAATTGCCAGTACTGCCAAAAAAAAAAAAAGTGCTATACAGAATGATATCACGTTTGTTAAAATATATACTTATGGGCCAGCGATTTAGCTCAGTGGTTCTGCCGCCTGCCTTGCAAGAGCAAGGTCCCAAGTTCGATCCTGGTACCAGAAAAAAAAAAAAAGAAAACCAAAGCCCTCAGGCTGGGACTGTATCTCAGTGGTAGAGCACTTGCCCTACATGCACGAGGCCCTGGGTTCCATCCCTGCTTCTGAGAAGACAAAGAACCTCCCCCCAACTTATTACATGTATTTGCACAGCAAAAAGGGTTACCAAATACTGATAAGCTTTTGTTCAGTAACAAGAGTTTATTTATATGGGCAGTATGATTTTTTTTTTTTTGGTGCTGGGGATCCAACTTAGGACCTCATGCTTGCCAGGCAGGAGCTGTATTTATTTATTTTTTAACCAAGTACCTCCTCAGTAATTTATAATGGCTTTGAAGTAATGTGTATCAAATAAGCACTGGAAAATTGTCTCTAGATGATATGCATGTTTCAAGTGGTACTGAAAGCCAAGTACTGATGGATATGTGATAATAAACATATTAATATGCTAATGACTCCTCATTTAATGAGAAATAAAGGTAATTTATGGACGGAGACTTTAAAAAAAAAGGGTTACCAAACTCTGAACAAAGATTCTTTTTCTTTTCTTTTTTGGGTTTTTAGGTGAAATTTTTTTTTTTTTTTTGGTACTGGGGATCGAACTGGGGACCTTGCGCTTGTAAGGCAGGCAGGCAGCAGAACCACTGAGCTAAATCCCTGGCCCTCTTTTTTGGGTTTTTGAAACAGGGTCTCGCTCTGTATTTCGGGCTGGCCTTGAACTCACTATGCAGCCCAGGATAGCCTCAAACTCATGGCAATCCTCCTGCCTCAGACTCCTACTGGCTTTTGTACTGGGAGTTAGGGTAACTGTTTTATTGGCTAAACTTCCTTGGAGGGGTGGTGAGCAGTGGCCTTTCCACCCCCAGCCCACACCTAACTTGTCTGGCTCTAGTTGCCTATCCCCAAGGATGGACTCAGGGCCCTGCCAGGCCTCTTTCTCCTTTAGAAACAGTCGCAGTCTCTTTCTTGTGTGTGTGACCTGAGAATCTAATTGAAATCCCTCCTAACAAATGTCACCACTCTGTACTGGAAAAAAATTTTTACAGCAACTAACAGAAGGGGAAAGATATGTATGAATTTTACAGAGATGCTATTTTCTAAATAAAAAAACCACACACTTAGAATTTGAATGTGGATGACAAAAACCTATCCAGCAAGCTATATGAATGGGAAGAAGGTCTTTAAGCTTAATCTCATTTTCCAGCCTCTCGGCATCCCCAGATGCAGTCATTTCTTTTGGAGACCCGGGAAGAAAATTCTCTTCCTTCTTTCTTTTCTTTCTTTTTCTTTCTTTCTTTTCCTTTCTCTTCTTTCTTTCTCTCACTTCCTTCCTTCTCTTTCTTTCCTTTCCTCCTTCCTTTCTTTCCTTCTTTTTCTCTCTTCCTTTCTTCTTTCTTTTCATTTCTTTCAATTCTTCCTTAAGACAGTTGCACATTTTCCTCAGTACTATTGCCTGTAATCCCAGAATTCTGGGAGGCTGAGGCAGGAGGATTGAAAGTTCAAACACTAGTCCAAGTGTGGTAGTGCACACCTGTGATCCCAACACTCAAGAGGCTGAGCCAGGAGAATTACCAGAAGTTCGAGGCCAGCTGGACTACACAGCGAGACCTTGTTTCAAAAAAAAAACAAAACAAAAAAACAGGGCTGGGGATTTAGCTCAGTGGTGTGGCCGCCTGCCTCACAAGTGCAAAGTCCTGAGTTCCATGCCCAGTACCAAAAAACAATAACAAAAGCGAAAAGAAAAAGTTGAAGCCCAGCCTCAGCAATTTAGCAACTTAGTGAGACCCTGTCCCAAAATAAAAAAATAAATAGTTCGGGGTGGGGATTTACCTCAGTGGTTCCGCCACCGCCTGCCCCACAAGCACAAGGACCTGAGTTTGATCCCCATACCAAAAATAAATAATGAATAAATAAATATAGGGCTGGGGATGTCTCTCAGTGTGAAGGCTCTAGGTTCAATCCCTAGTACTGAAAAAAAAAAGCTATTTATAATCACTTTAAAAACATAACTTAAAACATTTTGAAGTGAATTTATACTATTAAATAAAGTGAAGAAATAGGCCGTATGAAGACACTGGGCTCTTAGACACTGAATCATGCCCTACAAGGAACTAGGATTCTGAAAGTTATAATGACACCTTTGGTGCTTCTTTGTGGTACTGGGGATCAAACTCAGGACCTTGAGCTTGTGAGGCAGGTGAGGTGCCACTGAGCTAACATCCCCAGCCCACTTTTGTTGCTTTTTTATTTTGCAAGACAGAAAAAACAAACTGATTTGGGCCGGGGATTTAGCTCAGTGGTTCCACCGCCTGCCTTGCAAGCATAAGGACCCGAGTTCGATCCCTGGTACCAAAAAAACCCCAACCAAACAAAAAACAAACTGATTCCAGCAACAAACTTGATGAATAAAACCAGCAAGCAGCAGCTTCTGGTTAGAAGAAAGTAGGCAGTACTTTGGCCACAGGAGAAAGGTAAGCTTTTTGAAGACAGGAGAAATAGGTCGTTCCTAGGGCTGGGGATTTAGCTCTGGTTTCACTGCCTGCTGCACAAGCGCAAGGACCCGAGTTTGATCCCCGGTACCAAAAAAGTCGTTTGTGTTTTGGTAGGGGAGGGGCCCTCTTTCCACTCACCTGCTAAGGAGATGACAAAGAGCTGGTCTTGCTTCAGCAGCTCTGTCACAACCCACATTCCTCTTCTCCCAAGGCAAAGACTGCACTCAGGTCCCCACCCGGCTGAATCATCCTGAAGGTCCTGTCCTTGTCTCCTCACAAGCCCGGGCAGCAGCCGTCCTCCACCCAGCATGCTCTGAGATGCTCAGATACAGAGGTGGGAGCATTCCAAGATGGGGACCTCCTCAGGTAATGCCAACGCTTTCCTACCTGGTCTCACCTATCAATCATCTCATTTCCATTCATTCTGGATTGTCTTAGGATTTACTGTTATAAAAAATCACTCAGGTCGAGTGTGGTAGCGCACGCTCATAATCCCAGCCACCTAGGAGGGTGAGACAAGTTCAAGGCCAGCCTGGAAAATTTAGTGAGATCCTGTCTTAGAATTAAAAATAAGGGCTGGGGATTTAGCTCAGTGGTGCTGCTGCCTGCCTCGAAGGGTCCCAAGTCCAATCCCTGTTACCAAAAAAAAAAAAAAAAAAGCTGGGCATGGTGGTGCATGCCTATAGCCCTAGCGTTCATGAACCTGAGGCAGAGGCAGGAAGATCGCTATGAGTTCCAGGCCAGCCTGGACTGCATAGCAAGACTCTGTCTCAAAAAACAAACAAACAAAAATATAGCCATAGCTCAGGTCATCCTTGAACTCACTGTGTAGCTCAGGCTGGCTTTGAACTTGGGGCAATTCTCCTGCCTCAGCCTCCCAGCATGCTAGGATTGCAGGTGTGCACGGCCACACCCAGCTAGGAACCATGTTTGAAACACTGACCTCTCTGTGCTGGCTGGCCTTTTCTTCCCTGTGGTAGTGTTTAATGACAGAAACACTGAGGAAGGCAATGTAGGTAAAGGTGCAAACTGAGGAGGATTACCTTTATTATGCATTTAAGGTCAAGAGAAAAAGAAAGCCAAAACTATTTAACATTTTATTCCAATATGTTCTATGAGGCCCTTAAAGTTAATTCCACCTTTCATTTAATTTTCTTTCCTTTTGTTTATAGAGCAGTAAATGTGATTACTCAAGTTCTCAAAAATACTGTTTCTATTTTGCTCTCCCTCTGTTGGCTAAGAAGCAGAATAATACTACCTAAGATTAATGATTCAAGGTCATGTCTTTATTGTCATGAACTTGCCCAAGTATAAAGATTAATAGCATAGGACCAGGGATTTAGCTCAGGGGTTTTGCTGCCTGCTCCACAAGTGCAAGGACCAGAGTTCGATCCCCAGTAACAAAAAACAACAAAAAAAGATTAACAGCATTTCACATAAAGAAAAAGTTACTTTCCACTTTATGTCTCTGATACTTAAAAGCAATCAAAGATGGGTGTAGTGGCCAAAGACTGTAATCCCATCACTCGGGAGCAGGCTGAGGCAGGAGGATTGCTGGGAGTTCCAGACCAGCCTAGACTACAATAGTGAGTTCAAGGCCAGCCTGATCTACATAGCCAGACCCTGTCTTAAAATAAAAAAAAAGCAAACAAAAAACCAGAACAGAAGAAGAAAAAGCAACCAATTTGTTTGTAATATTATGTATTCAAATTCAAAATATTTTTATATACAGGCTAGCTACCCTCTCTTCATTATAAAAAAATTACTTTACAAGATTCTGTTTTTATATTAAGGCTGAAGTCCACTGCATATAACCAAACTTACAATTTTCTTGTTTCCTTTGTTACCACTAATTTGTTGTTGTTGTTTTGGAACCAGGGATCGAACTCAGGACCTTTCAGTTGCGAGGCAGGTGGCGGAACCACTGAACTAAATCCCCGGCCCTGTCAGCACTAATTTTTGCAACCACAATTTTCTTCCAAACTTAAAGGTAAAAATTTAACTGTGAAGCCTTTTTTTACATTATGTGTATGAAAATTAATTTATTAAACTTCTGTACCCATACCTGTATAGTACGCTTATATATATGAAGAGTGAAGTTACAAAAAGCAAAAGTGTTATTAAAATCGATGCCTGAAAATCTTACAAAAATATCCGAATGGGATAAAGCCGCTCATCCCTGATTTTTCTCATTGGGTTGTCGGAGTTGAGATATGAATTTAAAATGGCTAGATTTTTTTTTCTTTTAAAAAGTGATATATTAAACTTATATACAGGATAATTAGCAAAATGTAGAAAGGGAAAACAATGTACAAAAGACATAAAAAAGTCACTCTCAAGGGACACCCACAATCCAAAAATAGTATAAACCTTAAATACAGCCCCCCACCCCCCGTCACTGAGAGCAGAACAGAGAAACGAGCGGCCCAGCTCTCCATTCTCCCCAGTGGGCCTGACCGGAGGCCGCGGCTGGACCTGGGACGGACGGTTTGAGCGCGGGGCGGGTGGGCGGCGCGGTCACTCGGGCGCCTTCTTGTTCTTCTGCTGGTTGCGGGGCGAGTTCCTGAGCAGGCTGCGGATCCTGAGGTACATCCCCGTGGACTCGGCCATGTTCTCGAACTCGAAGGGCGTGATCCCCATGGCGAACTTGCTCATGTCGGGGACGGGGCTGTGCAGCTGCGAGGCCGAGGCGGGCGCGGGTCCGGAGTCCCCGTTGCGAAGGTCACAGTTCGACTCCACAGCTCCGTTGCCCAGAGCGGCAGCTTCGTGCTCCGCCTCCTCCTCAGGCTTCTGGGCCTCGGGGGCGGGACTCAAGGGGCGCCCCGCTGCCCCGGGCTCCTCTGGGACCTGCCCCTCCGGGACGCGCAGGTCGGGCGAAGAGGCCACCGAGGCGACGGCGAGGGGCGCGTCGGCCTGCAGGTCCGAGTCGCTGGCGGCGCCCTCCGCCTGCTCCAGGGCCGCCCAGATGCGCCGCTGCTGCTCCTCCAGCTCCTCCAGCGTCAGCGCGTCCTCGTCCACGGCGGGGCACCGGGGCTGCGGCGAGGCTCCGGGCGTGAGCGGTGGGGTGCCCTTGGGCAGCGGGGGCACGAACACGGGCGGTGGGGTCCCGCGGGGCAGGGGCGGCTGGAACTGGAAGCCGCCGGCTCCATGGGCCGGCTCCGCATCTGCAGGGCGGGCGAGACTCGTCAGGGGCAGGATCACGGCACAGGGGCGCCCTGCGGTCAGGCCTCCCACCCGGACCCCAGGCCTGAACACGAAGTCCTCAGCGCGGCGCTGCTACGGCCCGCAGAACCAGCCTGTCCTGGAGCCCGGCGCGGCCCAAGCGAGTCTCAGGCAGGCAAGGCCTGAGGCCGGGGCGGAAGCCGGTTGAAGCCTGCTGTCCACCAATCGCTCTCCTCCCGCCGCCGCCCCAGGCCTGGGCTCTCTGGCCGCTCTTCCCTGGGCCTGGGCGCTGCCTCACGGGCTCCCAGAGCTGTCCCCGCCTAGGATCCGCTCCCCCATCTTCCTCAAACACCAGCCCAGGCCCTGCAGGTGAAGTCCACACTCGGGGCCTCTCAGGCCTGGGCAGCTGGCACCCCAAGGCCCTGCTCACGCGCATTTCCCACTCCCGGCTCCTCTCCTTGGCAGCCCCTGAATCCACTCCTCAGGACGCAGCTCGGCCTGGCTCCTGCTATGCGCTGCTTTCACCGCAGCTGCTCAGGGTTTCCAGTACCACAGTATTATAGTCTGCAGTGAGCTCTGTGGCAGCAACATGTCACACTGCTGTCCTCTGTGCATCACTGCGGGCCACCGCATTTCTACCAAAGTAAGGCCGACATACCCACTTGCAATCCCTAGGTGACAGACCGTGTCCTGTCTTATTAATCTTTCAGTCCTCAGGGTCTAGTAGAGGGGTCTAAAACACTGTAGGTTTTTAAAATGTGGGAAATTCAACTGAATATTGAAGCCTATGTAAAACTAGCCTGAACTTCACTGTATAGGCGATGAAATTTCCAACTATTGTCACTTAGATTTTGAGACGCTCAGCCAGGCAGGTGACCCACACCTGTCCCTGCACTCTGGGAGGCTGAGCCAGGAAGAAAGCAAGTTTGAACGTAATTTAGTAACTTGGCAAGACCCTGTCACAAAAAAAAGGGGGTTTCCCGGGGATTTAGCTCAGCGGTTCCCGTGCCTGCCTTGCAAGCCCAAGGTTCCGAGTTCGATCCCCAGCACACACACACAAAAAACAAACAAACAAAAAAAAGGGGTTTGAGGGGGGATGTAGCTCACTGTGAAGGTCCTGGGTTCAATTCCCAGTACCAGGAAACGAAAAAAAGCAAAAACTAACTCAAGAAGAGCAATAAGTAAGAAGAGTAAGAGCTAAAAGTATGCAAAAAACCAAAACAAAAATTAGTGGTGTTCTACTGTTCAGAGCAAAAAGGCTGCACTATAAGGCAATTACTGATATACTGCTTCTTCTTTTTTTTGGTACTGCATTTTTGAGGCAAGCAGCGGAACCACTGAGCTAAATCCTGGGCCAATATACTGCTTCTTAAGGGGCCAGAAGCAGAGGGAAGTCTAAGGGATGGTTGGAGTTCAAGATGCATACACAGTGGTACTTTGGCTCATGAACTTGACTCTTTCCATGATTCTAATTGCAAACCAATTGGAGGAGAACCCAATCATAGTCAACGGTTTGGTTCAATATTGACCTTATGGGGAAATTTGATTCAGTTCTCATCCAGTTTGGTTTCCGACAAGGACTATGGAGAGAACTGAATTTGTGAACTAAGGTACCACTGTAATTTATTATTATGGTGGTTCTAGGGGTTGAACCCAGGGGCTTTGTAGTGGTACTGAAATCATGAGCTTAAGTGATCCTACTGCCTCAGCTTCCCAAGCAATCCTCCTGCCTCAGCCTCCTAAGTGCTGAGATTACAGGCATGTGACACCATGGCTGGCAGTAAATGATTTCTTATACAATATATGTGCATTTGCTTTTAAGAATAAATTAGGGCTGGAGATAGTAGTACATAGCTGTAATGACAGCTACTTGAGAGGCTGAGGCAAGAGAATAGCAAATTTGAGACCCGTCTGGGAAACTTACTGAGATATGTCTCAAAAAGGAGGGGTTGTCTGGGGATGTAGCTCAGTTGGTAGAGTGGTTGCCAAGCATGTGGAAGAATAAATTTTATCTCAAGCAGCTTAAAAACCAAGTTTCATTTGAATAAAATATCACAATAAACATAACTAACCTAAGAATGTTCTAGTGAGTAGGAAAAAGCCATTCATGTAGCTATTATGAACTGCCCTGTCTGGGCTTCAACTTGTGACCCTCTTACCTCAGCCTCCCTAAAAGCTGAGATTTCAGGCATGTACCTCTGTTCCTGGCTTTTTCTTTTTTGTGCGAAGCTGGGGATTGAACTGGGGCAGCTCTTCCGCCCCTGAGCTGCATCCGGCCTTGGGCTATGGTCTCATACAAGAAGTGCTGGCCTCTGGGATGTAATGTGGGACGACTGCTCAGAGTTTTACAGAACTGTTTGCTTTCTTTTTTTTTTTTTTTGGTACCAGGGATCAAACTCGGGTCCTTGAGCTTGCGCAGCAGGTGGTGAAACCACTGAGCTAAATCCCCCGCCCCAGAATTGTTTGCTTTCACAGTCGCGTGGGTGTGTGGCAAAGGCTGAGACAGTTCCACTCTCAGTTAATGCGCTGGCCTCTGTAGAAGGGAGACCGCAGACAGAAGCAAGGCTGTGGGTGCTAGAAGCCCAGGCGGTGAACACTACTGGGCACCAGATCCCTGCGGCAAAGCGAAAATGTCAGGAAGCGACCTGGCCGCTTTATATATAGGCTTTGAAGTCACCTGTGCAAAATAATACTTTTTTTTTTTTGAAGATTGGGTCTTGCTATGTAGTCTAGGCTAGCTCTGAATTTGCAGCAATCCTCCTGCCTCAGCCTCCCAAGTGCTGGGTTTCCAACTACGCACCACTACACCCAGCAAATAATCCAATTTTGGATATTAATTTCTTTGAATTTTAAGGTGAGTTCATTTGAAATCTTTTTTTTTTTTTTGAGACAGCGTCCCATGTAGTTTAGGTTGGCCTTGGACTCATTATGTAGCCCAGGCTGTTCCTGCCTCACTCTCCCAAGTGCAGAGATTACAGGCATGTGATACCACTCCCAGCCAAGGTGACTTCATCTGAGACTTTAAAATTCTCCCTGGGAGGGCTGGGAATTTAGCTCAGTGGTTCTGGTGCCTGCCTCCCAAGCACAAGGTCCTGAGTTTGATCCCCGGTACCAAAAAAAAAAAAGAAAATACAACAAAAAAATAAAATTCTCCCTGGGAATTTAAAAATTAGAGGAGGGTTCCTTTTAAATTTGGGTAACATATTGTTGGTAACTTATTATTAGAATATTTTTTTTTCTTTTGCCGTGCTAGAAACTAAACCAAGGGCCTTACAAATGTCCTACCACCGAGCCATACCCCTAGCCTGTATTAGATTATCTTTATGTATTTTTGTTTTGTTTTGGAATAAGGACTCACTATGTAGTTTTTAGGCTGGTCTTGAACTTACTATGTAGCCCAGCCTGGCCTTGAACTTGCGGTGATTCTATTTTTTTGGTATCAGCGATCAAATTTGGGTCCCTGCACTTGCGGGGGAGGCGGCAGAACCACTGAGCTAAATCCCCAGCCCATGGTGATTCTTTATATATTTTTTCATGTCACAATTTCATCTGACTTCAGAACATCTGACATGCTATATAGAACAAAGTAGGCATAATTCGAATGGGAACTAGAACAAGAAATGAAGGGCTGGGGATTTAGCTCAGCAGCACTGCACCTGCCTTGCAAGCACAAGGTTCTGAGTTTGATCCCCAGTACCAAAAAAAAAAAAAAAAAAGAAATGAATTCTCAGCCTTGGATTCAGAGTGGTCTTGGAATTTATCTACCACAAAGTTTTTGTCCACTCCAGGGTTTTCTGGGAGCAAAATCTAAACTACTAATCAGAATTCCTAAGGGAAACCCACGGGAGTACTGGGACTGGTACTGGGGAAGGAAAAAGGTGGAAGCAAGACTATCCTGATCTACTACTGATGCGCTGAGGACTGTCACAGCCCAGGGTGACCAGGGTGTCACAGGAAGTGCACAGGGTTAAGAGAGCAGAGACAGGGGAGTGCTGGAGGCCCAAGTTGTCTCATTTTGGGTTCACGGGGGATGGACTTCCTTGCAGCCTCTCTTTTAGAGAGTGGCAGCTTTGAGAGTAATACAACTGGGAAGGTCCCTGGCAAAGCCTGGCTCAGCTTTGGCCCTGCTCTTCTGGAGACAGCACTGCCACAGGGGCACAGGCTTCCCACTGCCTATGCAAGAAGAGGATGGGGCACTGCTGTGCGCATGCATCTGCTGAATTCAGGGGTTCAGCTGGCTGATCTGACTGGCTGTCACCCCGAGGGCAGCTTCCAATTGGGAGCTCTACGTGGCGGCAAGGACGCCCCATCCCTTGAGAACAAAGACGCACCACCCTTCCTGCTGGAGTGCAGCACAGAGGTTCATCCTGCCTTCCCAAGGAGATGGAAAGCGCGAAGTGCACAGTGAGACCTACCCGAGTCAAGCTCCATGTCGGCGGGGGACACTGTGGAGCTGCCCTCCTTCCTCTGCTTCTTCGGGCTACCAGAGCTGGACTGCAACGAAGACCGCTTGCCGCTGGACTTCACGCTGGGCTGCAGGAGTGGCCAAGGCGAGCACAGTTAGAGGGGAAGACAGGATTTGAATCACAGCCTGCACCACAAGGTGCTGCAGAAAACCAGTCTGGAAGGGCAGGGGGTTTAGCTCAGTGGTTCTGACGCCTGCCTGGCGAGCGAAAAGACCTGAGTTCAATCCCTGGTACCAAACAAACAAACAAAAACCAGGCTGGCGCCAAGGCCAGGTAACTGAGGAGCAACTCCTGTCTGCCCTTCGAGTCATTAAGTCATTAAGTAACGGTGGTGTTTTCGATAAGGAGCAAGAAAAGGCCACAAAGGTTTCCGGACCACACCCTTAGAGTCTATTTACCACTTGGAAGTTAGAAGAAAGGTAATTGGCAAACACATCCTTCTGCTGACAGGCCTGCATCGGTATGGAACCAAACATCCTCCATTCCTGTGAGGAAGAGAAGAAAAGGTTTGTATTTGGAAAACAACATCTTTTGGGATTTTGCTCAAAGGAGTTAAAGTGGGGATCTCAAATTACATCTCTGCCTCTTAGGTGACTTTTCCTTTACTGGAGTCTAGGGAAAAGAGCCTAAGAGCAGTAGAAATGCAGTTTTTATTAAAACAGCAGCAACAATACCACGATAATTGTTGATTTTTAATATATAAGATGAAAACTATATAAGAGTAAACGTGGAAAAACTATTTATACACAGAATGAGAAACTTAACAGGAGAAAGATATACGAAAAACACACAAAAGAGTTCTAATCTTAGGTTTATCACAGAAAATTACTTCCCAACTAAGTAATTCTGTGACACTTACAATACAATACTATCTTAGAATCATCCCATATTGAACTTTTGAGAATGTGGCACTGGGATCAAAGCCGGGGTCTCTCTACCATTGAGCTGCATCCCCAGTCCCTCTTTTGAGACAGGGTCTCCCTAAGTTGCAGAGTTGCTCAGGGTGGCCTCAAACTTTTGATCCTCCTGCCTCAGCCTTCTGAATAAATGAGGTTACAGTCAAGCATCACTACATGCAGCTTTAAAAAAATGTTTTCATTTTAGAATAATTATAGATTTATGGAACCTAATCAATCCTTTTATACGGCATAACATCAGAAGAAAACTGTGATTTATTTATTTATTTATTTTTTTGGTACCGGGTATTGAACTCAGGACCTTGCGCTTGTGAGGCAGACAGTGGAACCACTGAGCTAAGTCCCCAGCCCAGAAAACTGTGATTTTGATGAACACAAGATTTAAGATCTTTTTCAATAAAAAGGAAATGAGGCCTGGGGATGTGGCTCAGCAGTAGAGTGCTTGCCCAAAGGTTCAGTCCCCAGCACCACCAAAAACAAATCAAAAAGTTAAGTGATTAAAAAAAAAAAAAGTTAACGGATATACGTAACAAATGTTCTTCTCCCTCTTCCTTTTGAGGTACTAGGGATTGAACCCAGACCCTTTGCACCAAGCTACATCCCCAGCCCTTTATATAAATTGCTTTTTAAAAAACTTTTGAGATAGGTCTTGCTAAATTACCCAGGCTGTGGCTGGGGATTTAGCTCAGTGGTTTTGCCGCCTACTACACAAGCGCAAAGACCTGAGTTCGATCCCTGGTACAAAAAAAAAAAAAAAAAAAACCCAGGCGGGTCTCAAATTTGCAATTTTCCTGTCTCAGTCTCCCAG